ACCCATTCAATCGTTTAAAATGACAAAATAAATATTAAAAATTGTCCTACCTGCTAAAAAAAAAAAAAAAAAACCCTCTAAATCAATATTTTACAACAACGCAATATCACTAATCACACCACAGATCTGCTGAATTCTCTCCTCTGATTGGTCAGAAGGTTTAGATTCATTTTTAATAACAGCAGCTCTGATATTAATACAGCTGCAAATCCCAGGTTTATATTAAAGCACTCATTCTAACACATTATCGTTTCTATAGTAACAACCTACTCTAGGATTCGGATGCTAGACGCTCCATATAATCAGATTTGAAGCACATTGTTGATATGGCGAAGTCTTCTACGAGGAGACGTTTATTTAACAAATTTTTTTTAGAAGGAGTCTCCAGTGCCAAAGCTTTGTAAAGTGTCAGTTTTACGAGACGGAGGAATTTTACGCTTTGCGGTTTCTCGGTATCATGACAAGCTGCAGTTTTGTCTTATTAACTTAAAAAAGAAGAAAAAAAAAAAAAGAAAAAGAGAAAACGGGAGAAAAATGACATTATATAGCAGCTATAATGTACATGAGAACAGGAAGTTCTGTGGCCATTTCACAACATTAAACGTAACTATAAATGGATAAAAAGTATAAAATGTGACGTTCTTTAATAAAAAGTGTTAAGTGTATAAGAGGAATAAAACACTTCGGGACATGCCTTTAATGGAAAATGATACCTTTAAGGTGGTAACAGCGACTCCGCTTCATCACGCCACCCTGTCGCTGATTATTTTCCTTTAACAGCACAACGCCAAGTGTTTTATTCCTTACATATGATCCATCATCACTTTAGGTGTTATAGTATATAATATATATAATATAATCTGGTTCAACCCAAATGAGTAAATTCCTGACAAATCACCAGATTTGAATTCCTACATACCTTGTCTGCAGCAGTGAGGCGTGTCCAGGGTTTATCAGCCCGCCGGTCGTAGTCCTGAGCGTCGGCTACTTCTACATAATCGCTGAAGCGGATCAGGATCTTGGCCTGCCGCAGTTCCTCCACCGTGGGCCTTTGGCTGAGCTGCAGACACGGAGGAGTGTAACGATCATCTCTCCTCCACCAATACACTGTTCTCTCAGACGCAGCTGAGCTACTTTGCTAATACATGCTTTCCTGAGCGTCCCGCAACTCTTTTCAGTACTTTTGTAACACTAACTCACAGGACACGTAGCTAAGCGGAGGTTGAAATGTACCTGAAATCTACCTGTAGAGAAAACAACTGTTTTATCTTTTTAAAAAAAAACCACCATCCTGCTTTGTTTGCAAACCAAACCATCATGATTCTTGGTTCTTTTCACCTGATTTCTGGTACATTTTAGCAATAAATGTGACCCTCCATTAAGAATCCAAAACATTAAAAGGTGTAGGAGTAAGCGCCTACGAATATTTTATTTAGAAAAGCAATACGAACATAAGGGTTACCGAGGGTTACTGAAGCCCCGCCCACACAAACGTAACGTTTTGGTTACTGACTGAACATTTCTGAACATTTCGGGTTCCCGGACCTGTTGTCCAACGCGCGTTAATCTTTCGTCCCATTAAAGCAGCTAGTACACAAACACCTAACAGACACTCGTTGACGCACCGGCTTCAATAGCTGTGTATTAGCGCTGTCCCGAAAGCTTCGAAGCAGATTGGCACACAGGCTGCGCTGTTCACCGGGAAAGAGTTTGTGTTTAATGAACAAACAGCGACACACTGCAGCGAGATATCTGATCATTTGATTCGCTAAAATATTCATTTCCACCAAGACCGATGAATAATATTAGACACTTAGGTAAATTTCACTGCCTCATTTTAATTCGATTTCAGTGGAAGCCAAGCAAAAAGAATTTGCTTTTACTTATTTTTATTTCTGCAAACAATAAAATAAAAATAACTAAACAAGAACTACCGTAAATACTGTAAGCAAATTCTATAAATAGACAAAACTTGACGCTGAAAACACCCCAAATTATTTTATTACAGCACCTGAGAAAAGTCCATCAGACCATTAGGCTACGTAGCATGGTGAAAGGTTTGAACTCTGGGAAATCATTTCTTCAGCGGTCGTGATCATGCGAGTTGCTATAGCTCTAAAAAGAGCAATAGTCGACTGAACTTTTGATCACCTGAGCGGTGATTATGTTTAAAACCAACAGGCCGCTATAGTAACGAGCTAGCAACTCAACACGTGTTAGCCTGACACTTCTTACTGTAGATACAAGCTAGCTATTTTTTTTTTTTTTGACGCCGCTATTTTTCCCCCATTTCAAATAACATAAAATGGGAAAGCAAGAAAGTAGACCAGCTGATTAAATCCGGTTAGTTAGCATTAACTTCTTAACCATCAGTTTGTTCTGTTCTGTTTTTTTCTTTTTGCGATTTTCAGCCCCAGACGGATATCGAGGTTTCGTGATCGCCGCTTCTTTGCGGGTTTCTGATCTCAGTTACCCAATTTAGTCTCGGTTTCTTTTCTTTTCACACCACAAGTGAGACATCCTGTGACTGGCTCATACATAAAACCTTTCACCAGATAATAGTAAAATGTGTGTTTTATTTTTTGGCATATCTAGCTAAAAAATAATGGCGCCCCTTGGCGGTCCGGGGCTCCTAAGCAACAGCTTGTATCGCTTACAGTAAGAAACAGCCCTGGTCGGTAACGCTGATGACTTTTAATCTTGTTCACTTCTTGTTCAGTGCCACATCAATACAAATCCTTGTTTTTGTCTTTTTTTTTCACCTTCTCTAATTTAATTTGCCATATACATTTACATGTATTAGGAATTCTTCTTAATATGCAGCTCTTAACGTTATTCCTGAGGAGCTCGATAATAAGTTGGTGTGGTCATGTGAGCATTTTCAAACGGACTTTTTGTGTGTTTTCGTGGAGAGAGGGATTTTTAAAGATGCTGTTTGTTTGGATGTGGATTTTTTATTTTTGAAAATGAAGGTGTAAAAACTACATTTTCGGAAAAGTCTGCACATCCAGACAGAGTCTGAATGAAGCCAAACTGGACCAGACAAATGCATGAAGCATTTACAATGGCTTCGCAAAAGACAGTGTGTTCTTTTCAGGTAAAGAACAGAATATAATCATCTTTTGACTCACTCCTAAAAAGCCCTTTGTAACAAGAAGCAGTAATGTGTAATTCCAGATGAATCATCTGACATCAATAGGTGCTATATGAGACCCTGCGAGGTAAGAAACTGTTCAGAGCCACGGCACTATTACTTGGCGAGAGACAAACCGCCAAAAGCCAGACTAGACTTTGGAGTGTGTGTGTATGGGCGACAATGTTGCACTTGAAATGTAAAAATGTGCAGTCTGACTCTGATTGCAGACTGTATCTCACCTTGCGCGTAAGTCTCCGTTTGATTTCCCTCTTCTCCTCCAGCTCCTCTTGTTCGTTCCGTGCTGCAGGAAAAGAACAGGGAAAAAAAAAAAAAAAAAAAAAGTGAGATGCCACCTGGAATTTATTCATTCATGTCCACGAAAAAAAAAGTGCTTGAGACTCAAGTTTTGAAAGAGAGTCAGATAACCACTAACCATGGCAAGTGATGAGAATGCCTTGAGAAAGTCTTTTCATCCCTGATCAACATTCTCCACAGGTTATGATGCGATCTGAATGCTAAGCTAGCACACGCTTTTCTCATAAAGAGAATTTAAGAGGAAACTAGGCCGGCGGAGGACGATCAATTCAGTGAGGCTTAGAGGAGGAAAAACCAAAACAGCCTTTCCCCTGAGCTCTCATTGCTGGACGACTTTCCTGCGTGTTATCATGAGCAAAGCCTCGGGTTTCTCCAAAAAAAAAAAAAAAAGATGCTGCAGGCTGAAAAACTGTCTGGAACATATCAGAAAGAGATTCTGCCTTTTGGCATCCAAAACACACCCAGTATAAAAGTAAAAAAAAAAAAAAAAAAGAAACGAAACTCCAAAGTCCCACTGGATTTTGTGTTCGTACAAAAGGGGAGTTTTTTTTTTTTTGAAATGCATATTTTGAAGGGGGAATCTAGGTCACTCTGTACTGCAAACACTGAAACTGTCCTTCACTTACAGAATAGAGACTTCACTAAACCCAGCGCAGGTATTACAGCAAAAACTTTAAATCTTCCTTTAGAGGACTGTAAAAACTTTCCGAGCTAAACCAATATATCCTCATCCATCATGCGGCCATTTAACGCAATGATTTGCGTTATTGTGTCTCGGTAAGTCATGAACCGCTTTACACTCGTTCCATGTAACTTGGCTTCTTTGGAAATCTTGATTTCTCTCAATTCATGAGTAGCAAGAAGGAAGTGCAAAAATACAGCATTTGCACAACGTTAAGATTTATGCCCCGGTACTTGTGCAGTAACCATGATACACTGGTTCTTCGTGCACATTTACATTTATATTTAATTATTTGGCTGACGCTTTTATCCAAAGCAACTTACAGTTAAGAAAAGATCAAACCAAGCAGTTGAGGCAGTGCTTGGATTTGAACTCACAACCTTCCGATTAGCAAATTAATGCCTTAACCACTGAATCACCTCTTCCCCCTACAGCCCAAAAAAAAACCACTCCTCAAATGAAACCCTTTGAATGTTTGCTAAACACAAGTTTTAAAAGGTCATGTAAGATGGGAAGCTTGCATTTGACCAATAACTGCCTTTCGGTATGGCAGGTTCCACCCAGTAGAGCTGCAGAAAAAGTACCTACTCAGGAACTGGAACTACATTCTGGGAACCAAAGTTGGCCCTGAAATGCACCTACAGTTCCTGAGTTCCTAAAAAACATTCTGCAGCAAGAACATCCCCATTTGGTACAGCTAGCTCTTTCTCATCTTTAGCTGCTAACATACAGCAAACGGTGTTTTGCGAAAGCATTTTGGCGACAGCAAACATTATTTTGCAACGGAATTCTGCTGACAGTATTTTGGCGAGACGATTTTGGCGACAACTGAAAGTATTTTGCCGCAACATTCTCCATTTGAGGCGGTCCCTGGTGGTCTAGTGGCTAAGCATCCCACGCTCTCACCGGCATGGCCTGGGTTCGATTTCCAGGCAGGGAACCAACCCAACCCCTGGGAGTGTACTCTCAGTGCCGGTCCCAAGCCCGGATAAAACCGAAGGGTTGCGAAGGGCATCCAGCGTAAAACCTGTGCCAAATCAAACATGCGGCCCAATGAGCCACTGTGGCGACCCCTAACGAGAGCAACCGAAAGAACAACAGCAACATTCTCCATTCGAGGAAGTTTCAGGAAAAAGATGTGTATAGAAAACAAAAAAAACAGCTTGATGTTTTACAGCTGGGGGAGATGGGTAATCATACTTATGGGAGTAAACAGACCAAATCCAGCATGAACACTCACGTTTCAGGATGTTTCGCTGCTCCAGCTCCTCTGCTGTGGGTCTTTGGCTCAGTCTCCTGCGCAGGCAGACACACACACACACACACACACACACACACACACACACAAACACACAGTGTACACAGTCAGTACCTTACAGTGGACAGCTGTATACTGTTGCATTGGTGTGAAAATTCACACTTGCCTGAAAAGACAAGCAAAGTGAAAGCAGGAGTGTTTGACTTGAGGAATGAGGAACCTTGAGAAATCAACAGCAGTTTAATATTTTTCCTCATTTAAACCCAGTCCAAACCTGTCAGAGAATTACTGAACCCTTGAATACGGTGTGTTAGAAAAGGAAAAGCAGGGCTGCTGTGGAGTCATGCCCTACAGGACCAGAGGTAGTGAGGAATGGCCAAAGGTAGGGAGGGATGAATGGATTAATGGACAGACAGAGGTAGGGATTAATGAACAGAGGTAAGGAGAGATGGAAGGTTGGATGAATTGACCAGAAGTATGAAAGGGGTGAGGAATAGAAAGACAGCCAGAGGTAGGAAGAGATGAATGGATGGACAGACTGCCAAAGGCTGGAGAGGGAGAAAAAGATGGATGGACAGAGGTAGGGAAGAATAGACAGAGGTAGTGAGAGATGGATGGATGGATGGATGAATAGACAGTTGGACGGACAGATGGACAGATGGATGGATGGATGGAGATGACCAGAGGTATGAAGGAAGTGAGGAATAGAGAGATGGCCAGATGGACAGATGGCCAAAAGGTAGGGAGGAACAGAGTGAATGCACAGACTGCCAGAAAAAGAGAGGAATGGTAGCATGGATAGATGGATGGCCAGCGGTAGGGAGGAATAAAAGATGGACAGACAGCCAGAAGTAGGAAGTGACAGATGAATGGGGGGGACATACAGAGGTAGGGAGGGATGCACGGATGGCCAGAGGTAATGAGAAATGGAAGCAAGGGTAGACTTATGGCCAGAGGTAAGGAGAGATAGGTGAACAGATGGACAGACAAAGGTAGGGATAGAAATAGATGTTAAGTCAGACAGATGTATGGAGGGATGGAAGCATGGAAGGAAAGACAGCCAGAGGTAGGCAGGGATGAATGGATGGATGGAAGAACAGAGTTAAAGAGGGATAAATGGATAGAAAGCTGGCTAAAGTTGGACAAAGGTATGGAGGGATGGAAGTATGGGTTGACAGACAGACAGATGTAGGGAGGGATGGACAGACGGGCGAGGCAGATGAATGGATTGACACTACCAGCAAAGAAAATATGGAATATTTAGAAAAAAAAATATAGAAATAAGGATTTCTAATGTCCTGAAAATCCCTGCACCAGAGCGCTGGATATTTGGGATATTTGGGAACGGGAGACGCAGTAAACATCACTATTCTATACGCTCAATGTCCGAGGGCTGAGAAATGTCATGTGACGTCCTGTGTACAGATCCAGCCTTCAGCTCAGCTCACCATCAACATCCCCCGCGTCCTTAAGAAAGCCCACGGTGTCACGCGAGCATTCGAGGGTGGTGATTCAGTACACATCTTCTGCATTAAATCTAAAAGTTTTAATAAAAATTTCAGCCTGTAACTGACATCACTGTGGCTATATATAGGTAAAGGAGCGTAGTGCGGTCTCTCTTCCTTTAAGTATTCATTTGATCCAAGTCCAAACGTAAGTAAGACTACATGGAATATATACAAAGGCAATACTGAGTGTGTGGATTAGGAATCTTTAATGAACTCCACACCAGTGCCATTATTCATTAAATCCATGAGATAGATAGCATGATTGGAAAGTCTTGGAAAGTAAACATCAGTTATATAAACCAAATATCGTGAAGACGTCGTATGAATTCGTACAACGGTGATGAAATGTATACAAACACACATGGTCTGGTGTGTATCTGCCCAGTGAGACTTGGTTACACAACAGGTCTCGCTGCCAAACCCCATGATGCAACAAGGTTACGCAAGAAAGTGACAGTCGTGTCATAAGGGTCCAACGTGAACGCCAGACATGGCGCCGTTTCTGGCGGGATTTCCGTTTGCGCGTCGGTCAGCTTCAACGAGAAGGTAGCGTCGCTAACCTCGTAACCTCCCAAAAATCCGTCCTCGCCTCGCTCGCTACATCACACGTTCATTTCACCTCATAGAAAGCGAAAACGTCACACGATTTGCACTGAAACCTTCTCCGTTCTCAGAATAGCTTCAGGAAATCCCATCAGCTTTAAATCCTGAGTTGTCAAATCTTTTTTTTTTTTATCCCCCCCGATAGTAGCGTATGGATTTGATCAAAAATGAAGGTGAATATAATAAATGCATTATCCATTTGAATTGATAAGCCAGGCATGTCCTTTACTATCCTCACTGTAAAACCTCCATTAATATACAGTTGGGTGCAAAAGTTTGCACACCCTCTGGACTACAATGAATGACAAATTGTAATTCATACCAACTTTTAAAGCATTTGGTGTGTGTTCAATAAAGACGTTCATTCATTAGCAAGTACAAAAATGGTCACGTGTTAAAACATTAAAAAAATAGTATAAAAAAAAATAAATTATTAGATCTTAAAAATATTATACATATTCTAGGACAGATTTTCATTCATAACCATTACCAGTGATCATACATTTTAGGCTTAGACGAGGTAGAGGGTCAGCCATGTTTTGTTAGCGTTCATTAGCAAGATAATAAACGCATCAAAATTGCTGCGATGAGTGTAGATGTATCTTTGATGATTCCACAGTCTCCTTCTCTCAAAATCTCGGCATGTCTTTTTTAACACACTCAGTCAACAGCGCTTTTGTTGAGGCCGGATTTCGTGTCTACAGTTGGCATTTGGCATTTTCCGCTATTATCCAGCTGCGGCGCTGAGCGCTCAGTCCATTAGCATGTGCTAAGTGATTTTAACATGCCTGGCCCTGATCTGGTTTATTCAGCAGCCGCGTTCCTGCAGCAGTCATCAGCGACTCCGGCTTCTGGAGCCGTTAAAGAGGAGAACATATTGTACAGCTTTAATCTCGTTTAGCTGGAAACAGTCAAGGACACAGTGCAGCGGGGATGACTCAGAGACAGAGACAGAGAGAGAGAGGGGATAAAAAGACAGAGGGAGAGAGAGACAGAAGGACAGAGACACAGGAGAGACAGAGGGAGAGAACCAGACAGACAGAGAGTAAGACAGAGAGAGATAAAAAGACATACAGAGAGGGATACAGGAGATAAAGACAGAGAGACAGAGATACAGGAGAGAAACAGAGAGAGAGAGACAGAGAGAGAGAGAGAGAGAGCAGGAGGTTTGGCTGAAATTAGGTCAGCTCTATTGTATTGTATTGAAGAGGACGGAGATGCACGAGAGCGCTGATGGCCTTCATCATTCACTGGGCCATTTGTGCGCACACTCACACTCACACACACACACACACACACACACACACACACACCTCACCACACAGCCCTCACACACCTTCTGCTAGTGAAGCCTAATGTTGCCTAATTTGTGTGGAAAGCAGTTCGCAGCATCATCAGTTAAAACCGATCTGTGAATTTTTTTTTTCAATTCGGCAGCGTGGTGCTGCTTAGTAACCGTATTCACGTGCTGCTGAGTGAGTGCCGTGCTTTAGCGTGAACGTCAGAGACCTTAAATCCGTCAGTGACTGGGTTGAGAGAAATCTTCAGCTCTTTCTGAGAAAAAACAAAAAAACAAAAAAAACAACCAAACAAACAAAGACCACACTCCATGTCCATGTTTTTGGAGACTCCAGGTTGCCTGGGTGTCAACATTTGACACACAAATCCTTATAGCTTTTCTGCAACTGTGTGTGTGTGCGCGCGTGTGTGTGCACGTGTGTGTTTATGCTGACCGTGTGAGTTTGGAGCCGATCTGCTGCCTGGATTCGAGCCTCTCCTCGTCTGTCTGCATGGGCAGGATGTTCTTCTCCTCCAGCTCCCTCTTAGACGGCCTGTTACTCAGCTTTATAGCCAGCGAGTCTTTCCTCAACACCTTCAGGGCTAAAGTATCTGCACACACACACACACACAATCATATCACACACGCTCTCAGGTTAATTAGATTCAGAACACAACATACCTGTCTGTAACACCTCCTTCCCTTCCAACCTGCTCTAACACAAAGAGACCGAGTGTGCGGAACATCTCGTCCCTAACCCGACCTGCTGCGTGAGCCGAGCTTCCCTCAGTCGCTGTTTCTTTCAACTCAAGCTTGGTGAGATTTGACATCCAAGCTAGCATCATTAACACATACAATTAGCATGCAACTCATCGTAGCATTGGCTCACAATGCATTATTGCGTTTTTACACGGTCAAATTCTTGATTTTGATTGGTCAGAGGGTGCTAATGACTAATTTGTTGCTGTTATCGTATCACTTAAATACATTATCGTTGCTATGGTAACAGCTCATTCGCAGGGACTTGTACGACGACTTAAGCTCTGCATAATCTACGACGTGATGTCATTAAACAGAGAAAAACGTAAAATAATTGCTGATATGGTGAAGTGTTCTGTAAGGGAGGAAAAAAAGGCTTATTTAACATTTATGTAAGGAGTCTCCAGTGTCAGAGCTTTGTAACAGTCAGAGGTGAAGCTGGAGAAGTTTTCCGAAATCTTCATGACAGAAGAATGACTTCATGAGATAGAGAAACTAGAGAGCATGGTGAGGAAACGACTGTTTACAACTGC